GAATATTACTAGACATTACCCTTGCCTATCTTTTTTCATCAACCTGCCTTTATCCCTACGGACGATCGGCTCAGTATGTGCTACTCCTCCATACATCTCTATCAGCCATCATATCTGAATCCATCCCCTTTTATGCATATACTTTTTAACACAATCCATTCTTGTAGAAATTATGAATTTATTGCCTATTTTTATTACGTTAAAATTTCATACATCGCAATTTAATTTATCTCATTTAAGATCAATTTTCAATACATTTTAATAATTAAACTTTAATGTCTTAAATATTGTCACTCAATAATTTAATCTCATTTATAAATTGAAATTCTTATATTTTCAATTAATTTGAAGAACGACCTCTTTGCTATTAAATTATATTTTGAAGGTAATTAATTAATAATAGATGTCAAGTGAATGAAAAGTTTCATGGTTGAGTACGAATATTGAATTTTGTGTCGAGTTAACGCAAATTAAATTAGATATTATGTAATTATTTGAATAACGTTGAAATGTTAATTGTGAAATATGTTTTTACTGCAGGGATGTATTAATTGTTGGTTTCTGAGGCCAACATGGCTGCAAAAATATATCGTTATCTGTTTTATCCAGCGATATCGGTCTCAGTAACCAACGATAACAATTTATTTGAGCTCAATACCGTTAGATTTTCTGCACTGCAGTGTTATCTGAACACATTTGTATTTTTAAAGGAGTATAAATAAGAGAAAACAGAGCGGGCTACCTTTGCGGCCGCAATTAACGCTAATGCGCTCACTAGTTTTGTTCGTGTTGCGTTTTTACTCTGTATATTCCATTTAACCTTTTTACGTGGACCGTTTACTTTGTTTGGCCATTCAGCTGTCTAATTTATACATCTTGTATTATAATTTAACTGGCAAACTAGGCAACGCATATGCAATTGCGTATGTCGATGGGCAACGGTCACATCGCTATTTCAGAGATTTCAGGTGGCCGCTCGCTCGTTTGCCTTCCTTATGATATAATAAAAAAACTAAAGGAACCCCTTAATGTAGATATTGATAGAAGCAGTCGAAATACTGTGCGTTTTCACTGACGAAGCACCTGTAGAAAAACATATTCACGTTCCTGTTTATTACGGTTAATAAATAATTAACCGTGGGTTTCTGAGACAAAAATAAATGTATCAAACATATTGTCATGCTGTCATTATCTTTGACAAAACAGAAATAACAATATGTTTTAAGTGGAGATTTTGTTTTCAAAAACCCACGATAAAACTAATTAAAGATATAGGCGTTCTGGAAGTGACAACCCAAGGAAAAGTGACTCCTAAATCATGATTATCAATATTTATATTTCAGTACGGACTAGAGAGTAGAGACTAGAGCTAATTTGGAAGCAATTTAAACGTCTACTATTCGTTACACGTTGCATACGTAATCACAATGAAACTGAGTTTTGACCTTAATTTTATGAATAAATTAAATTAATTAGATCGGAAAAACTGTTCATTTTGCGATAAGTTTGCAACTTTCTAGCAATCGCTATATCTAATTATATTGTTTGCTATGTTACAAATACAAAATTATATGGAAATATCTCTGATAAACGATATAATATGAAGAAATACGCTGCAGTATAATAACAGCGAATACGATTTTTTCGTATGGAGTAGTAATTTATCAAACCAAATAAGAATTATTTTATTTTATGAGGAAATTATTTTAGGTCTATTAGATGATTGCGCGCCATCTATTGTCTGTATATAAAATTAAACATTTATATTTTTATTTCAATGAAATAAAATTTAATATATAATATTTTCCTAAACTAATATAAAAACGGCTAAACACTCACGTGTCGTCCGGTCGCAGCACCGACTAGTTTCGAGCCCATCGGGATCGCTTCATCAGGGTGAGTGGGAATGGTATTATTTTGCGGACGCGGCCCGTCGATCACTATATAAGCTCTTTTTTATATAAGTTTATTATAATGTCTCACGAAAGTTTGTATAACATTTTCCTAGTTTAGAAAATGCTTAAAAACATCAAAAAAGATGTAGCAATGAAATAAAACATGGCGAGTGAGATTTGACCTCAGTGGTGAGTTCACTCGTTTAAGCCCTAGGCCGTCGCATTCAAACATACATACAAACCAAACAAACTTACATACTCATGAAAAACATTACCTCTCTTTTCAGTTGGTTAATAAAAAGGCCTAAGATTTTTTTTACACATTTCCTTAAAACAATATTTATGTAGCTGGCAGTACAAATTCTAATCAAAAAGTACAAGTAAATCCAATAATACAGTTAATGTATTCGCTAATTCGCTTTATATTCCGTAAATCCGTGTTTGAGTTTCCTTTCCGTGAATAAGTGATTCAACACGGTTCTCAGTCCCCTTGTTGAGCTATTACCGACCCGAAAGTATTAACTGACCTATTTTGTACTGTCGCGCACGAAATACTACGACGCAATATTATTCAAACATTTTAAAATTTTAAAAATGTAAGTGAAAGCCTCGTATATTAAAATGTCAAAATTCGATATCTTACTGGACACTGAAATCTTACTTAAAGTATTTATTTTTTAAATTTTGTGTAAAATATTATATCTTGACTACCTGAAGCCTATGGCTTTGTCCGTGCGGGATTAAAAAATAGATAGTAGCAGATTTTCAGACCTTCATATAAAATTTCATAAAAATCGGTCAAGCAATATCGGAGTATGGTAACTAACATTGTGACACGAGAATTTTTTTATATAAGATTGTTTCAAATTATAATTAACTTATAACTTAAATTAAATAAACGAGTTATTATGACAAAAACTAATAAAAAATATGTGTAATGTACATACTATGTGTAACTGTATGCAAGTGTACGGGCATAGTTACGAGCCGTTAAGTGGAGCGCTGGCAATCAGGCTGAGGCGGCGACGTCTGCTAGCTACAGGGTGTAATGGAACAATTTCCTATTAATTGACTACTCAGTGATGTTATCATTGTCCCCACATGTCTGATCTATTGACTCACAACATGGTATGATCTAACTGGCTTTTGGTACGGTAATGTTAAGTACCCAGTAAATAGTTTTTTTTTAATTAATCTTTACAAGGAGTATGGAATGGAGAATTATGGTTATTAAAAGCATATTCTAAGTGGAAATTAAACTTGTTTAATTTATTTGGTTGTTGCTTTTTAATTCGATACTTTTGTATGTTTGTACTACTATATTTCCAATTTGAAAAGGTATAAATATTATATACAAAAATATGAATAACTCGAGTTACAATTTCCAAAAAATAATTTGTAATATTCCATGCCTGAAAGTGAAAGGCGAGAGAAACGTTAAATTACTTGGATAAAGGTCAAAGTTTTCTTTATTTTCAACATATTCGTAAATTGATACTGTAAGTAGGGCTGTCACCAATATATGTAAGACTGAAATTATCGAAAATATTTAATAAATATTTGGGCATCGATGTCCTCCGAGTGGGCAGTGTGTAACTTGGGGGTGTTATTTTTATTGCGCCGGCATTATTCAGGTCTACGTTTATTGTAAAATCCACCTAAGGAAATAGATTGATATGGGTGTTGTATAATAAACCTCCCCCCCCCCCAGCGGCCTGTTTGGCAGCCCTAGCAGCAAGGTGACTTTGAATAGAAGCACTTACACGTCTGCTTTATTGCAATTTATTGTCAAAGTTTTATAAGTCAAAGTAGCGCATGTCATCCAGCTTATATTCTAAGCTCCTATAAAATAAGACATCGTAGTCCCAATAGCGTCTATCTATTTTAAAAATGTTTGTTATTTTCTTTTTATTTTTGTAGCGATGAGATATCATTTCGATATTATTTATTTCTGATCAATATTATTATACTTTTAATAAGCAGTATTTTTTTCTTATTTTTTTAAAGCTCTCATCTTTTACTAATCATGGGTTTCTGACATCAAAATCTCTGTATAAAACATATTGTCATCCCTGTCATTATCTCGGACAACACAGATAATTATATGTTATAAACGGGATTTTAGACTTAGGAAAGCACAGTAAGGCTTGGTCGACTATGATGTACTTGTGTAAACAGTCATACTTTGTAAGTAATAAAATAAATTTCGAATTTTTGGTTACATTAAAAAAGAAAGTAAGAGGATCATGGCCGACTGCGTTGATTAGATGTTAGATAGTGTATAATGTCTTGTAATTTACATTTAAAACAATACATAGATGTTCTAAAGAAGAGCAAAATACTTACGTAAAATAACACGCATTATGTGAAAGTTATTTATAACGGTACGTTACCTTAATTAGTATTTTACTTTGATGGTAAAGGGCTCTTTCAAACATTTCTTTTTTTTAGGCATTAAAATAATGAATTAAAGTGAAATTTTAAGACTAAAAAGTTTTTTTTTACTATAATTCTGAATAATATTTAAAAAGATCACCTTAGGTTAGTCCTTAAAATACCACAGGTGCTATGATAGATTTAGTTTTATGAGCTTATCACTTAACATAGCATAATTGCATACGCTGCTCAACTCAATTCCCAGTTTTTTCAATAATAAATGTTTGTTGAAATAGAAGGACAGACTCGGAATCGGTATTCGGGGAATAATTCAGTCATGAAATAAATCAGTGGCGTACATTCGTGGCTGGTACAAGGCGATAAGTTTACCTCAGGTCGGAACGTTATAATTTGATGACCTTTTGTCTTTTTTATATTAGTCTGATATTTAAAAATATCTAGATTTTATTTTGTTTATTGCTGGCTTGAACCTGTAACTGTTTTTTTCAATAAAGTTCTTTTCACTTTTTTACTAAAACCAGCTAAATGATTCGGTACTTTGCTGATTGAACACTCTGTATGTCGTCTTAGATATAGATAGAATACTTGGCATGATCCTACAGACTATTTCGAAGGGACAAATTATTTCTTATTGGTTTGGCACTTAGCATTTGGATTCTATTGGTTCTTCTTTAATATTAACTTGTGTTTATTTATTTTGTTATGTAGAAGTGTCGGTGACGTACCGTCGCGGGCTACCGGTGATCACGGTACCGCTGCCGTCCCGCCGCGAGCGCTGTCGCTTCACGCTGCGCCCCGTCTCACAAACCGTCGGCGATCTGTTGGAACAGGTTCGTCAAATTACGTCACGTTTATATCTTATGAGAGAAGACATTGCAAACGTTAACTAGTTAACGTTGATAATAATAAGAGGAACCAATGTGCTAACTCTGAAGAGTATGGTACTTGAAATGAAAAGCAAAAGGGATAGAATGTCGAATGGGGTATACCAAATTATCCAGAAGCTTATCCCGCCAGTTTTATGTGGGATCGTGGCATCTCACCATTAAAATTGTCTCAGATAAAAAGGTTCTACTAACAATTGTCAGCTGTTTATATCAGACCGGATCAACTTAAAATCAAAGAGTGATCTGTGAAAGTTTGCATAGATTATCAGTAAGTTCCATGGTACAGGTGAAGGCAGAAGACCGCGGCGTGGAGCGTGCGGTGGCACTAGCTCCAGACGACCGCGTGCGCATCGCTGCCAGTGACACGGTAGAGTCACTGCTAGAGAACGACTTCCGACTCGTCATCAACGACACAGAGTATTATGTTAAGAGCCCGCCCCAGGTGAGTGTTGAATTGCTAATATTTTTTTAAAGGCGCGATAAAGATTGCTTCTAGGAGAAGTTTGTTGTGTTGGATGTGTTTGTATGATATTTTACTCTATAAAACTGCCTCAATAGAGGGTTCCAGGGTTAAGTACTCAATGTTAACTCTTCGTTCTCAGGAACGTTTGAGTTCAGAAGAGATTACTCGTCTGAGCGACGTGCGCAACTTGGTCAACCAGCTTTATGAAGCTCTTAACGTCCGCGAGCACCAGATCCGCAAGGAGCGCGAGCTCAGAGGACAACTGGAAAAACTCTCTGCTGAACTGCAACCACTGGAAGAGGTAAGCTGTGAATCAATAGTACACCACCAAAAAATAGTCCATGAATCTTTAGTTAGAAAATTTAGAGACCGTTTATTATTGGTTTGCGACCGACTTTTGATTTTCTATATTGGTGTCTTTTTTCCTTCAAAAAATAATAATATCTATGTCACGGAACTGAATAGATCCTGTCAAATTGATCATACATTTTTATGAAGGTTCTCTTTGATTCATAAAGAATCGAATCTATACGTTTGTTGGTTGTAGGCACTTTGTGTTCAAATGTAATGTCATATTATTTTTGAATTGATTTTTGTTACCTTTAAGATCAATTTATTACATTAGTCCAGTAATAAATAAAATATATAAACACATCTAGAAATTTTAGTTCATCGACTCAACTCTTTAATACAAACGTACATTGAAGCTTAGAAATATTCTTGTTACATAGAAACGAATGTCGCTGGAAGTGGAAACGTCTCGGCGCACGTCCGCACTTACGTGGGTGGGGCTAGGGCTGATGGGCGTGCAGTTCGGGGTCCTGGCTCGGCTGACCTGGTGGGAGTATTCCTGGGACATCATGGAGCCTGTCACTTATTTTGTTACTTACGGCACCGCGATGGCAGCGTACGCGTACTTTGTGTTGACTAAACAGGTAACGTGTCAGTTACGCATTTATACGTTTTAGGAAAACATGGTTGTGACTATTAATTGAATTCAGTTTAATAGTTGAGTTTTTAATTAAGAAAATAGGTACTTTGTTTAAAGGAGCAATTTCCAATCTTGTCCTTCTTTTGTCGGGGTTAGAAAAATAATTTACGGAATCAAAAATTTTTTTGAGTCTCCATTTTTTTTAATTATATTGAGTGTTTTTTTCCCACAGGAATACGTGTTACCAGACGTAAAAGACAGGCAACATCTTTTGATGCTTCACAAAAAAGCGAAAAAAATCGGACTCGACATCAATCATTATAATTACTTAAAGGATGAGGTAAACAAGATTTTTTTTTATTTGTTATTTTGATTTTGACAATTTTTTTACTTCTCTTTTCGATTTCACAGTAAAATTACAAGCAATATGTGCTATATTCATACTAAAACCGTTATTTAAGGTTTAACGAGGTTAATTACATCTTGCATTCTGAATTCTTGACGTCGGATGACACATTTTGCAAGACATTTGACAAAAACTAGAGTTTTTTTTGCAAGTTTAGGAAGAAAAAAATGTTATATAACACGAAATTTTAACTATATCATTTTTTATACATTATAGATAGACAAGCTTCAAAAGGACCTCGCCCGTCTAAGAGATCCGTTGCACATTCACTTGCCGACATCGTACTCGCCTAAATCTGGTGAAGAGAAACGTTCCCCGTTGACTAAACTAAAGGACATGCTCGATGAAACTAGTAAAAAAATGAAAATCACGTAATATATGTTTATCACGCGTCGTCGCTTGAAATAGACGCGTAACACTTGCCTTGTTAACACATTCACTGCTACTCTGCGAGTTCAGGTGAGTATGTGAACATCGTAGCGGCATTGAACGTGTTAATGATAAATGTTGTTAATAATTATTTTACGGATGACATTTTGCGATCGCTCACTGTATTGTTATAGAGAAATTTTGCACTTATATTTTGTTGTATAGGATTTAGGGTGCGTTTACACTGAACCGAAACTACGAAAAGTTAGAAAAGCAAGTTAACTGTGAAATTATTTTATTATAGTGAAGGTTATGAATTATTTTTTTAAAGTACAGATCTGATATTATATTTTTTATGAAATGTTCTATAGTGAATATATATTATAGCTTTCTGATGCCTACAACAAATGATAGTTTTAATTTCATGTAATTATTTTTATACGCTTTATTTTACTGAAGTTAAATATTTCACTACGCACAAAATAGAATACTATCCTTATAATATTGCTACTTTATACGGTTTAATTTCAGTGAAATTCACCCTTAATATTAACTAAGAAGCATTTGATAAAAAATGTTGGTGACCTCTGATTTTTTTATGTGTACATCGCTATTGTAATGGAATTTGCAGGTATTGTGTAGTCAATGATTATAGTTCTTATTAGTTTGTTTTTAAAATTAATTATTTTAATTAATTCAGAAATATATTGGAAAAAAAATGATATTTTTTAGTGTGGTAAACTTTTTGCTCAGATATTATGTTTCCTATTTATAATTTAAATTTAAAACAGTTTTAACCCTTAGTAGCCTGATTTACATACGAAAGTGACTTATTTTTAATATTACTGTGTTTGCTTGAAAAAATAAAACAATAATTATTTTTTTTAATTTCAATGGAAAGAACAGTAAAATAGGTACAGCCAACCTATAAAAAAATAATAGTAATGTGAACATTCGGTTTAAAAGATTGGTATCAAAATTGAAACTCTAGGCTACTAAGGGTTAATGAAAATTTATTTGCACTCTATCCTATAATCTGTGCCAATTCGACATGATAAATGAATTATTTGATAGCTTTAAGATTATTTATAAAAAATTAAAAAAAAAAATTAATTAAATGTAAGTTAAAGAGGCATACCTTTACAATATTATTTGTTCTTAGTTACAATTTTTATATTACGACTGATTTGCTAAGTCTTAAATATACCAAATGTTATTCGACGGTGAAACATTTTCTCGTTGATTTCTCTTAGTTTTTGTAGACGTCATGAAATAACAGACTCATTTTGACAGCTGTCAAAACCATACTGTTCCAAATATAGAAAATCTTCATCATGTATAGTCTTACTTATTTGGCCCGGTCAAATGGCGCATCGAAAACTACTTAACCCTTAACTCGATGGTGTCCAGTGTGACGAACAACTAATTAAAAAAATCTACTGAACTAGTTTACAGAAAATTACGAAAGTGTGACTTTACTAAAAAAAAACAGTTTTTTTGCTACAAAAAAACGTCGTCGAATTAAGGGTTAAGCATTGAAAATAGTGACATACTTATCTGGTCCGGTAAGACATGTTTTGTTAACGCGATTAACTATTCTAATTAGCGCGATTATGTATACTTAGGGTCCGTTCACACAGACCAGGGCGGAAAACAGAATTTTTATCGCAAATAAAATTAACGTTTATACCATTAAAGTTTAATTTGATTTTTCAGATGATTTTAAGCTTACTCTTAATAAAAACACCAGCTAAATAAAATGAAACATTGAATATGAAAAGCCTTATTTAATTTGGTTAAAAAAATCTCCAACCTGGTGTATGTGAATGCAGCCTTAGGCATATAAAAAGTCATAAGAAAGGACAGTACTACAAGGATATTGTGGCATTTTTTACTTTGCCAGAGCGGCGCTAGTGTGCTATTGTATTATAATTTCATTAAGACCTACCGGGTCAGATAAGTTTGTAAGTCTATACAAGACTAACGTAGGTCCACTTTAGTTCTGTATTTTTGCTTTTAAAAAGGGTCTGTTATGTTATGACTTAATTATGTTCTAGTCCTTTGTACGAGTGTTTGCTTACAAAATATAACCTAAAGACCCAAGCTGATTCTTGCCTAAGTTAAAAAAAATCCTAAACAAATATTATTCACAGGGTCCTTAAGGTTATCAGTGAGGTTAGACAAAGTGCATTCGCTTCGTATCGATTCCATAGCGAACTTCAAAATTGTAACTCAGTAAATCATCAAAATCAATGACCTTCGTTATGGAATCGCTACGTAAAATGCGCTATGTCTAACCACGTTCGATCGATCGTAATTCGATTCGTTTTATTTAGTATGGCAAAGAAATGACTTTAGTTAAATATTTGCTTTTTCTTGTAATTTTTAAATTATAATATTAAAATTTTTTAGCACAATTTCATTTAATTAGCAAATAAGAATTAATGCACAAATAGTTTAGATGAAAAAACTTGGTGCTTGACATCTGCTTGTATTTATTTAAACTATTTTTTTTTGTAGTTTTATTTTATCAGATTGTCTTGCTTGTTTTTATTAAATTGAATTGAATGTCATTTTGTTTCTTTCAATATAACATGTCCGAATGGTACTAATATTTATTTATAATATTAACCGTGAGTTTCTGAGACCAAAATCCCCGTTTAATATATATCATATAGTTATCTCTGTTTTTACTTAGGTAATGACAGGGATGACGATATGTTTTATAGAGGTTTTGGTCTCAGAAACCAACGGTAAAGTATAAAATAATGGTTTAAATGTAAACATGCTTATTATATATTTTTTTAATAAATTACACATTGATTTTTATATTGCTTTTATGAAGATAAACATGTGTATATTTTATAATTTTATTACAGTCAAAAAAAATTTTTTTGGAGCTCGATATAAAATGTTAAGTTTAAAAAAAAATCATTAAAACGATTAAAAATAAATATCTTGAAGTAGTATAATAAATGGCTGTGAAAATATATATTGTGAAAGAACAGTCCACGTTAATAAAAATGTCTTAGCGCAATTTCAATAATAAATTGAATATTTTGTACGACAAATTAAAATGTTAATAATAAAAAAAATGTTAATGCATTTTCTAAATAGCATGTTTTTTTTTAATTAAAAAAAGACAAGTATCGAATGATTTTTTAATTTCCTCTAATATAATATACTCGAATCGATGTACAAAAAGTTCTAATACATATTGCGTCATAAAAATTTTGTGACCTAAAAATAATAAATTTTTTAGGTTCCTTAAATAAAAAAATAAATCCAGTTATAGAAAAAAATTCTAGAAAAAAAACGAGGTGTTACATAACAAACAGTGACACGTGAATTTAGAATATTGTTAGAGAAAAGACAATCTATCAGCCATTTTTGAATGGTGTTGTGCCTACAATAGGCTGTTTACCCTAATAACTGATCAGTATGAAATGAATGAAAGTATAAATCTACGCCTACTAACTAAAAGTATAATTAATACGAGGTAATCAGACATTTTTTAAAATTCAAATACGAAAAAACCTTAACGTCATTTTTTAAATTCTAGTGTGCCAGTATTACGATACACAAAATTTAAATACAGATTAAAAAAAATCATAATACCATAATAATTATGAATGAGTGAGAGGCTACTGTTAACGGTTTAGTTTGTCGCCTACCTCTGTTGTTGATTGACGTTTTACTGGAAACGGTATATCTTTATGCATAATGCCAATTTTCAAATTAAAATCCGTTAAATTATAAATGTACTGGCCTGCAATATTCACGTTTTGCTCAAAAATAAGCGATTAATGTGACATATTAATTTCTGAAAATTTTAAAAAGATAAGGTTAGTAAGTTCAATGTAAAACGTATCACACGTTTTAACATAAATATTAACGCTTCAGGTTTTTATAAAAGTCTAAGTTTCTTGTTGTCATGTTTTGTCTAATTAAAATACGTCAAATACCTTGATTTATGTAGATATCTTTGAATGGCTTTACTATGTACTATGTACTATTTACGCTTCAACTATGTATAACCTTATATACTTAGACTATTGTATATATAGCTATTGTTAGTTTTAAGCACTCACTTTATTCTGCTAAAGTAAGCTTAATCTTGTGATTTGCTGTTTCGCCTTTTATAGAACTTTTCTATCTCATGTTTTTCCTATTTATATAAAACGATTTTTATAAATCTAGACTAAGATGGAGCAAAGCTTCGGTTGTTTCTTATTATTTTTTTTTTTACGATATCTATGTACCAATTATTTTTTTGTATTAATACTTTGAAATTTATAAAAATAAAAGAAAAAGACTTATGTCGAGTTTACATTATTCCAGTACTACGACTGAAAGAAGGTTTTAGCTTGAAAAAAAACTCATACTGAATACACATAAAATACATAGAATATTGCAGTTTGAGATTACATTTTCCCAGTTGTCTTCCAGCGATTTGCTCGCTGGAATGGAATGATGTAAACCGGGCATTAAAATTTGTAATAGTCCACAAGATCTGTGTTTTAAGGCTTATGTACGCCTGAAGTAAATATTTGTTTTTAACAAGATAAAGTATATAGTAAAATTATTTCTTACTAAAATTATTTACATTATTCTTATAAGTTACAAATTTTATCTTATTTTCTATAATAATTTTAGTGTAGTATAAATTTATTGAAAATTTTTAACTAGAATATTTCCAAGAGCTTTTAAATTTTATTTACACGTTGGATCACTTTATTAGACAATCTCGCATGTAGTTAAGTATTTTGTAAATTAGATTAAATTGTTTAACCACTTACTAAATTTCTTGTTACTAATCACTATTAAAATTTGCCAAATAACCCTTCCAATACATTTTATTGTTAACTTTGTTAAATCCCTTTCAATGTCTGATATACGACATGGCCTTGAAGATAAAAGCTTCTATATATGTTTTAATGATATATTAACTCAATGAAAAATATATACAGTTGAACCGGAATAAGCGAAAGCCCAAAGACCGCGATATTTTTCTTACTTGTAGAAGTTTCTCTCTCTCGAGTTTCTCGCTTATATGTCGTTGGGACACGACAATGTCACTGGCTTATAGTGGTTTTTCTTTTATCCGGTTCTCGTTAATTCCGGTTCGACTGTAATTTAGAATACATACAATATATTCATCAGGCCATTTTGTATTATCCATATAGACAATATGTTGTTACAATGTTAATGGAGAGTTAGATGTTTTGGGAATAGTGGAAAAAGGTTTTAAGCCCAATACAAATACACCTTGTAATAGTAACTATTTTGCATTTTGTTAAATTTACAGTGGTGTTCCAATAAATTTTTTGAGAAAACATTTTTGAGTTTTTCTGAACCCGATTGCCTTTTTCCTACAGACTTTTTCATCTCTACAAGGATGAAAATACATTATTGTGTTTACATAAGCAATAGTCGTCCTCCTTTCTCAAAGTTTTAATTTTACATAAGATTTTTTTTTTTAAATTGATAAGTGAGAAGAAAAATATTTGCTGTAAATGAAACTAAACTAAATTGTACAAATACAAGTTGAAGTTAAGTAATATTTGATGTAGAGTTTACCGAGATCTTTGTTTTAGAAACACGAGTGTAAAGTGGAGAGAGCTTGAGTTGAGAAGCGCTTTAAACTTGCGCCTTTTTGTATTGGGGATAAAAAGGAAATATTATGGAGATGGTAAAAGGTATTAGTCTAATATCAAGTATTAACAATTAGAGTGTCGGTGGCTCAGGGGTTTACGCACTTGACTTGTAATCTGCAGGTCCTGGGTTCGAATCCCGCCATGTGTTTTTAGATTTTCATATGTACATTTATCCGAAGT